ACGCACCCTATTAACACTATGTTCTTAAAGGTTTGCCCCGAAATAAACCCAGAATTTTATTTGCAGATAGTTCGCAAATGCAAAAATGTGCTGCCGACAGTGGCGCGGCTGTGCCTCATCTCAACGTTCCTCGAGGACGGACTCCGGATGTGGTTCCAGTGGAACGAACAGCGCGACTATATGGACATCTCGTGGGGCTGCGGCAAGTTCATCGCCACTCTGTTCGTGGTAAGAATATTGAAGAAAATTTCTAATTTACTTATTATTTGTAATAGTTATATCAATAGCATATACAATAAATAAATGTGGCGGGTATCTATTTCATTCCACTATTCATTTCATCAGTGAACATAACTAGCAAAACCATTGTCAAAATAGAGAAATAAACAATAACTCCTTCTGGAAATAAATATTTTTTTATTATAGTTTAAATGGAACCAATAGTTGAGGTGACCTCTTTCCAACAAAAAAAAGAATCCGCAAAATCCGTTCACAAATGTCGTAACATACATATCAAAAATACAATCAGTTGAGAATCGCCTCCTTTTTTGTTGGTAAGGGGTACTTTAGTATCGGTAAATTTGAAGAAAATATTCCACCTCTAAGGGTGGCAAACTAGGGGGTGAATCCGGTTTCGAGCACTTTCCGGTAACCGGTTTTTTAAATAAAAAAGTTATATATTAAACCAACAACAAGCACATAGAAAATTCGTGAGGTCCGCTGGTTCGTTCCGTGGCTTAGTTGGTATAGCATCTAGCACGGTATGCTAGAAGACGTGTCGGTTCGTATCTGGTTGGATCGAGGGATTTTTTTCTGAGTGTTCGATCTTTGTATTAATAATTATAAAAAAAATTATAATAATTATAATTAGCGTTCCAGAGTCGTACTAACCTTGGAAATTTCACCATGTTGTGTGCGTTACGTAACATTTTAAATGATTTATTAATTAATTCTATTGTTATTGAGAGTAACAATAACGTAATTTATGATTTTTATTTGTGAAGTATGTTCTTATTTTGATAGCTGTTAAAAATGTCCGCATCAAAACCACAATGAAACATATTTATGCACTAAATTAGTACGTCCATTGTTCACAGATAATAAACTTATTTGGTCAGCTGGGAGGATGTGTGATGGTACTCGGAAGATTGAAAGTCGATATTGCGTGTGGGATGCTGTTCTTCATCGTCGTTTTACAGGTACCTGAAATTTGGAAATTTTGTAATGATAATTAATTTGGTTTGTAATTACCAGTGGTCGTAAAAAGGTGTTCCACATACATATCTATCTATATAGATATATGTATAGACATAGCTACAAGAAGCGACATAGAGTTGTGAAAAGCACCAAATAGTGATTAATTACTTTTTCGAATTCCGGATTTCTGGAAACGGTTTTACTGCATCGTAGAACGAAGTACTGACATAGGAAGTCGAAGTTGAATTTTGAAGTATTTCTAATAGTGCCATGTCAAAAATGCAGTAGATAAGTGACAGCCTTGTTGCCTTTCCGTCAATATACGGGGGCGGCGCGGTGTCTAAAACAAGGGAGGGACGGAGAGTGATCATTCTCGTTACTTTTTTATTCTTTGCTAAAAGGTCAGTTGTCTACTGCAGTTTTTTACATGGCAATTACTTTAAAATCCGACTTCGACTTCCTAGGTCAGTAAATTTGTATCACGATGCAGTAAAACCGTTTCCGGAAATTCGGAATTCGAAAAAGTAATTAATTAATATTTGGTGGTCTTAACTCTATGTCCCTCCTTTTAGCTATATCTATTACATGTATCTATGTATGTAGAACACCTTTTTCTGACCATTGGTAATTACATTCTTTCGACGATTTACATTCTATCGACGACGTGTAGGTCCCGAAGGTTGTTGACTAGTCTTCTCCTTGGCGTGTTACAACTTAGCTGGCGTAGTCTCGCTAGTCGCGTCGCGCTTGTACAGTGTGCTAGCACTGCAGAGAAGGACTACGCACATATATCGCCGGTGTTTTATAGAAAGCTTACCACCAGACGCGACGTGTTCGTCCCGTCACTTGATGGCATATAAAAAAAAGAAATGGCGAAACGTCATTTGAAAAAATTTTTCAGGGCAAAATGTTTAAGTTTTTCACAACTGGACATAGTTATGCAAACAGGAACCAACTCACACCTCGAGTGAAATTGAGTTATGTATTTAGGTAGAACACCAGACGTGTCTTTTACCCGCTCATAAAAGATCCTGGCAATATACCAAGCCAAAACGGTGAAAATAAAAGTCCTTCCGGGTGCCAACCCTGACTAAGTAACTTTTTAACAGCTAAAAAACCATGCTGCTTAACTTCATATAATGTATTTTTTTAAATATGCTAAATGGATCCATGTCACATGTACTGAAGTACTGTTGATCTTTAGCGTGTTCATTACGAAAACTAGAACATGGATCTCGTTAACTAAATAAAAAGATGCATGATGTTCTCTATTTATTGCTATATTATATAATAGTGTCCCTATATCATTCTCAATGCTACACATAACTCACGTTGTTTGTCTCAAATAACTTACCTATTTATTTCTTCACACTGTTTTTACAAAAATCGGCTAATTATCACGAAAGTGACATTTTGTGGGTTGGTTCTAGTTTGTATAACTATGCCCAATTGTTTTAAAATATTTACTGTGTTAAGTTCAATTTTAAGACTCAAACTTAATTAAAACCAAAATTGAATTTTAAGACAGGTCTAAATATTTTAAAACAGTCCTTAAAACCTGAAACATGAGGAGTATCCCCTAATTTTTTTTTCAAAATGGCGCTTTATCACTTTCTACAAAACATCGACGATATAATCCTCTGTTGTTAAGTCCAGAATCCTCCGTTTTATAAACAAGTTTAGTCAAAACACTTTGAAGGTGGCCGAAACGCTAACCGCGAAAAGCCAAGAGAAACAAGAAAAAAAAAAGTAAAATCAATTTTATGTACTTTTTGTATGTTAAAGCAACATGGGATCATAATTCAAGTGTTTTATGAAAGACATAACAAATTATATACCTACAATGGCCTACATAATATGTTACCAACAAATTTCGTTCGTAGAACTTTTAAACCACTCTCCTGAAAAGTTGTCATTTTGCAGATGTGAGCTTATTACTTCAAGGGTGTGTTTGTATGTTTGTTTTACTATTTTTTAACCGACTTTAAAAAAGGAGGAGGTTTTCAATTCGACTGTTTTTTTTGTGTATGTTACTCGATTACTCTATTTGTGAACCGATTTCGACAATTTTTTTTTTTTTAAAGAGGGTATTCCAATAAAATTTGAAAAAAGTGTTCCACCTCTAAAGACGGCAAATTAGGGGATAAATCAGGTTTATTGGATCTCAACCACTGTCCATTAACCGTTTTCAATAAAACTTGGCAAATAAAATAATAATAATAACGCGACACTCATACCCCCGCACTAGGGAAACCCTGTGTCGCGGGCACCATGGGCACATAGACAACCACAAATTACACCCAACTGAAAACAAAATTAAATTATTAAAGGCCTTACAAATATTTCTCTAGGCCCGGGAATCAAATTCGGGATGTCTGCGTGGCAGACCAGCATGGTAACCGTTCGGCCACATAGGCAGTTAATACACGTAATTCCACAAACTTTTGAAGTTGGTTAATTTTTTTCTCAAAAAAGGTAATTACAGTTATTAATTTAACGAATGTTTTAAAATGTAAGTAATGCTTAAAGATTTGTAGAGACTGCTTCAGTTCGCTACATTAATGTTAGAAATCTTACGATTTTCATGCTATTGTACAAGTTTATATAATCTTACCAAATTGATGTCATACTGTGTTACGTGAAACATAGTATGTAGCATATTATGAATAGCCAAGAATGGTTACAGATTATTGCCATTTGTCCTCTCTATTGTAATTTTTTGCATACGATAATTTCTATACCTTGTCATTTCGCATACATTTTTGTCATTTAATTTACTGTATAACTAATCTTCTTCTTGTCGTATGGATGGCATACACTATAATGGTTGCCATCGTGTAAGAATTTACCAAATGGCGTGAACTCCTCGCCGATTGTTGCAGTGTGTGCCAGACGTACAGTAAAGGAATGGTACGTCGTGTGGGGAGATTCTTTTTGTGCACCCCGAATATAATAATCAATGGTGGTGGTGGTGAAAAAGGTTCTCCAAATCTATAAATACATATATTGTTTCGATATAGCTACAAGGAGTGACATAGAGTTGTTAAAGTCACCATATATATTAATTTTTTATTTTTTTTCGAATTCGAATTTATGGAAATGGTTTTACTGCATCGTAGGACAAAACTACTGACCTAGGAAGTCGAAGTTAGGTTTTAAAGTAATTCTAATGGTGCCATGTGAAAAATGCGGTTGATAACTGACCTTTTAACAAAGCAGAAATTAAAAAGTAACGTGATTGGTCACTTTCCGCCCCTTCCTAACTTTACATACCGCACCGCGCCCCGCTTATTGGCGGTCACGTTGACGCAACGGCAACAAGGCTGTCAGCGAGCCATTCGCTACGGACAACACGATGATGTTTAAACTGTTTAAATTTTTTCATCACGCTTACTCGTAAACAATGACATGACTTGCAGCCAAAGGCTTTTCTTTACTTAATTGCAATTAAAAATTTGAATGTGTTTCGCACACAAGCTAAGTTTGAAGTATAGGAAAAAGTAATTATTAGCAGCAGCACTGTAAAAAATTACAAGTCTTGAGTCATCAAATGGGCTCTCGTGATTAATTTCTTATCTTACCGCCCTTTTTACACAATGTACTTACTAGTTTATTCCAACGTACGTTATTATTATCGTAATCTAAATAGAATAAAAAGAAGAGCTCTACTTAAAAAAAAACGTTTTTATTACATTTCAAATTTTTCATGTAATTTATATTTAGGAAATTAAAGTAACAATAATTATTATAAATACTATTATCCACTTCGAGTGCCTGCGAGTGCGTGCGTGTGTATGAAGAGATTTTCAGTTACATAATACATAGTTTACGATTCGAGTTGTTTTTAAAAAGACTCGCGTCGTAGTCGTGCGTGATGATGCGCATTATGTTCAAAAACACAAGCTTTTAGACTTATAAGCAATGGAGTTATAACTCTCTTATATCTTATTGAACCCGAAGTTAATACATAAAATGAAGTAGAACTTATTTATTCACTTATATAAGTGACAAAATAAATTAAGTTAAAATTAAACATGAACTTAATTGCTAACCACGCATACAAATACGCGTCTATGTTGCATATAGTCTGTAATTGTGTCTACCTACACGTTACCATTGGCCTAAACCCTCTCTTGGAGGAGACCCGTGCCTAATAGCGATACGCATAACGAGTTGGTAACGGGGATGGCGACGACGAGTTGGAGACGGAAATCCTTTGTATACTATAAAGTAGTTTGCAAACAGGTAGTGGCTGTGATTGTTTATAATAATAATAATAAAATAATAAAATCTCTTTATTGCCTCCAATGTAAAAAGAACTTGTACAAAAAAAACGATAATAAATAAAACTTAAATGACAAATAAACTTATATTAAATGACGTAATAAACAGGAGGCAAAAGGAGGTGTCTCAGCTGGTGCTGCGCCTGTTGATGACAGTTGCAGCGCTGGTTTTCAGTCACCCCCTTCTCCCTTAGATGGAATGCGGGATAATAGTATCGAGGACAGGGCTATTATGTATCAATTTAAATCTAACATACTATTTATCTAAATACGAACATATATATGTACTTTCTTTGATATTAGTAATATATGATTTATGAATTATTTCTTACGTTTCCAGACGTTCGCATACAGTATATTATGGGACATGCAATTCCTGCTCCGGAACTTGGCCTTAATTGGAGCCCTACTTCTCGTATTGGCTGAGGCGCGCGCCGAGGGGCGCAGCCTCTTCGCCGGAGTGCCATCGTTGGGGGAGAACAAGCCCAAAACTTATCTGCAGCTAGCGGGAAGGATCCTGCTTGCATTCATGTTTGTCACGCTGCTTCGGTTTGAAGTCTCGTTCTTGCAAGTGAGTTGGCTAAAGTATTTTTCATACAGCCCTATTAGACTTATGCTTCTAATAGGAGAGGATAAAATTTCACGTATAATAATAGACAGGCATACTCATAGAGCTCCTTGTGAAAGAGTTCGTCCAGGTAAGTACTGCCATCTTACCTATTTCTGCCGCCAAGCAGCAGCCGGGAAGTACTGCTATCTTACCCATTTCTGCCGCCAAGCTCTGCTGCTAAAACACACGACATATCAGGCAGTACACATTTATCACTGGAATTTTGAAATCAATGAAGTTGACCTATGCACTTGTATATTCAAAAGAGTATGTCACAATTATTTTTAACATTACGATAAAGAATATGACCTCATTGCTAATTTATTTTTTTTATGTGAAATTAAAACAAGATAAACAGTAATGACCTCATTCATCAATATTAACAAAGCTATCGCGCAAGAACTGCAGGGTGCAGTTACCGAAGGTCATGTTTACCTTAGGTCAATGAGCCGCTATCAAAAGCATGTAAACACAAGTTATATTTACCTTTTTTATACCGAACTATGAACCGGTGTGGTTTTATTGACCTAGTAATTACGACATTGTTATCGGTAATATGTTCTTTCGAATGACGATTTTTGTTGATAATTTTTTTGTCAATATACTCGTAAAGGTAAAGGTACATTTTATGATAAAATATAAAGTAGAATAGAAAAAGATTTATTCATGACTAACAAACAAATTTAGTAGCAGTAGAGTCCTTGTGAAAGAGCTCGTCCAGGGAAGCACAGCCACCTTGTCTATTTCTGCCGCCAAGCAGCAATGTTAACCCTTACGCAGTAACCCTGGTGAAATTACAGGCATATGGGACTTGGTCAACTTATGTCTCAGGGTGTCGGGCGCAGTGGCAGTGCCCCTTAGATCTTTGTGATTTAAAGCTCTGAGTAGTACTGCAGCTGTTATGGACAGGCGTGTCGCTTACCACCAGGCCCACGACTTGTTCGTCCCTTCACTTAGTATTATAAAAAATATATATATAAATAAACACATGTACAGAAAACAGAACAAGAAAAAAAAAATGTATTTATGTCATTTATGTAGTATTTCCTCTGATAAAAAATACCAAGCAGACTAAGGGTCGTATTCTAGAACTCTACTCAATGCTCAAGTCAGGATTTGAGTATGGTTTTAACCACTCGAAATCATACTCAAGTCCCTTCCATTAGGGTCGTATTTCCAGTGCGTGTGCTGCCAGTGCAATCCTGACTTGAGCATTGAATAGAGTTCTAGAATACGAGCCTCAGGGTCGTATTCCAGAACTCTACTCAATGCTCAAGTCAGGATTCGAGCAGACTTGAGTAAGATTTCGAGCATTGGAAATACGACCCTAATGGCAAGGACTTAAGTATGATTTCTAGTGCTTTGAATCATACTCAAGTCCTGACTTGAGCATTGAGTAGAGTTCTAGAATACGACCCTTAGACTGCAGTACTAATTATTATGTTTTAATTTACTCTAATTTATTATTAATTAATGATAAATTTAAGTAATAAAAATTGATATTGTTAAAATAAAATAATTTGTAAAACATAATGTAGCGGAAATTGGAATGTTCTTTATAAAATTAAAAATAAGGTATTTAATTAATAACTTTTGTAACCATAGTGAAAAAATAGGGTGGTTTGCATTAATATTAGACATAACTGGTTGATGACTTTAACACCTCAGTCAACCGTGACCATGGGACCAGTAAAGGACCCGACACGTCGGTTTGTTTGAAAAACAGACATACCTACGGGATTTAAATCCGGACAAATAGTTTCATATCCGAAAAAAAAATTTTTTTTTTTATAAAAAACCAACTTCAAAAGTTTTGCTGTGTTCGTTACCGCTGTCTCCTCAACGATGACTAAAACGCATATGGAAGTCCGCGTCAAAACGAATCATATGAGCCCAAACACAAACGTAGCTGCTGTACACTATCGAAGAGCTCCTTTCATCTGTCTGCCATTTTGAATATTTCCATCATCAAATAAGCTCAAGGCCAATTACATCATCTGTCAAGTTTTCCTGAAATCGGTTAACGGAAAGTGAGAGAAATTCATTACACTGGATTCATCGCCTAATTTGCCACCTTTAAAGGTGGAATATTTCCTTCAAATTTGAATGGGATCACTATTGAGGTTATTTAAATATCAAAATTTTTCATTTTAACTAGATAACCAAATCCACGTATTATTATCAAAATGTACTTGTATGAATAAAAGTTCATTTTGTTACTATTAGGCCAACTGTACGTAAAAATAAGAATAACACAATTCAACTTAGACATTTTTGGCAAAATTTTAGCTTCTTATTTCACAATTTATCGATAAAACTTTCGACAACAACTACATGACTATTTCAAATTTTATGAAAACTGGCAACCTTGCAAATGTTATTTTACTCTGTCTTCAAAAAAGACAAACTATAGTTAGAGAAATCTGCCTCACAAATGAATAAAAGGTGTCAAAAAAATCATTTTAACGATTTCATACACTATTTACTTACCAATGAAATTAAGAAAGTTCTTAAGACGGATTTAAAACAGTGTTCGGTAAAATTCAGGTTAGTTTTCTCTACCTAATATTTAAGTATATCAGGATACTACACTCGAATATAAAATAATACTTCATGGTAAGAATATTTAAATAATAAAAATTGGCTCCGAAATTAGGCAGAAAAAACTAACTTGAAAATTACCCTGTTAGGCTCAACTCACACTGGCGCAGAGTCGAAGCGTCGCGACGCGTCATGTTTTTCGCCTATGACATATTCATGCCACCTTTGGGACGGCTCTGCCCAACACCAGTTAGCTGCCGTGGACTCGGTGGAGCGAAAAGCAAAGATACTTATTGACAATAATTCTCTTGTGGAGTCAAAGCTTCAAAATCTCGACCATCGCAGAAAAGTGTCCTGCTTGTCGGTTTTCTATCGGATACATTTCGGTGAGTGTGCGCAGGAACTTTTCAATTTGGTTCCGCCCTGACCGTTCCTCCTTCAGTCGACTAGAAGGTCCGGAGCACTCCATTCTTATATCGTTGATATTCCACCTATTCGCACTAAGCGCTTTGCTTCCTCCTTTCTGATGCGTACGGCAAAGGAATGGAATGCTCTACCGGCTCTATCTGTATTTCCCGAAAAGTACAATTTGGGGCTATTCAAGGCTAGAGTGAATAGGCATTTTTTAGGCAAACGCGTCTCATCGTCGCTTAACATCAGATGAGATTGTGGCCAAGCGTGTGTCTATTATATATTTTTTTTAAAATCCCATTATTAAGGTACAAATTTGTGTTATGCAAATATGGAACCAAGCATCGACGCTTGGTTCCACTCGAGCGTCTTCGCTTCTTTACTTAAGCGCAGTGAGGTGTCAGACGCCGACCACACTGTGATCCGGGCACACTCAAGCGTTGTAGTTGGAAAACAGGAAGCGACGCGACGCTTCGAATCTACACCAGTGTGAGTTGAGCTTTACTGGTACAACTTTGACAGATTTTACTTTGACACAATAAAAAAAAACAATTCGTTCAACAATATACTTAAAATGGTAATTTCATCAATGCCACATTAATAGCACATGTGCCAATCGACAACAAATTGCTTCGGACAAGGTCAGGTGATACTTCACCTTGCAAGATAAACAACAGTTGCAAACATTTGACGTTGTTTAAAAATTGTTGAACTCGCGTTACAGATATGATGGGCGTGAACTTATATGTATGATCCTCTATAGCCTCACGCACGAATTCATTAACCTTGTTTGTATCTCCTTGTTTTTTTTCTTTACTGTTTTTCTTAATTTGTATACGATGAATAATGCAGACTCGGACATAAGCGACCTTACTGCCAAAGAAGTTAAGGCAAATTTTACAATATAAAGGTTATAAAAATATTATAAGGCATACAAATAACAGAGCATTAAAGATATTGGAGTTGAAAAAAAGAATAGACATTTATTTAAATACACAATAAACAGTGTAACATTAAATAATCTCAGTACAGAGTACTGAAGAAACCGACTTCAAAAGTTCGTGGAATTACATCTATTTGCCAAGTTTTATTGATATCGGTTACCGGAAAGTGGACGAAACCGGATTCATTCCCTAGTTAGCCACCCTTTGAGTTGGAATATTTTCTTAAATTTTAAATGGGACCAAAACTGAGGTACCCTCTTTCCATAAAAAAAAAGATTCATCAAAATCCGAGTTACCGCGTTATATACATACATACAAAAAACTTAAAGTCGAATTGAGAACCTCCTCCTTATTTGAAGTTGGTTAAAAATAAAAAAGAACAAAAGAAGCGAAAAAATATAATATTGATGAGATATTAAAAGAAGGAAAAAACACATTAAATACGAATCTTTATTTTATGATGCCAAGTTACCGGACGACTGGTGGTAAGCGACACGCCTGTCCATAGCAATTGCAGTGCCACTCAGAGCTTTAAATTGCAAAGATCTAAGAGGCACTGTCATTGCACCCGTCACCCTAAGACGTTGTTAGAAAGTCCCATGTGCCTGTAATTTCATACAAGAATACTCAATAAGCCCTGGTATATACTAACCTATCAATCTAAGTACCCTAAATGCCTATACAGCCTTATTCTTATAGGGTTATAATTGTAAATATTGACTTACAATTATATGGACGTCGGGTCCGCGCTAAAAAGTGTCCGAACTTATAGGGCGTTAAAATCGTATACAGAGCGTCATTCACGCCTTAGTCTTCGTTTGTTCGACTGACAGCGAAGCAAGCAAAATTAGACAGTACTGCGATGACATTACAATTTAAATTCAACGTTTTAGCTTTTTCATATTCCTTTACATGTCACTACGTTTAAATAGGTTGACTTGGGACATTTTTTTCGTGGTTTTTTGTATTAGACCCGTCGTCCATTTATTTGTAAGTCAATGATTGTAAAGGATTATTTACACTGTAAGGAGGGCCTTACAGTGTAAATAATCACTACACAGTTGGTGGAAAGGAAATAAAGCTAATTTACATTGCCGCAGGACGGAATGCAAGGCTAATTTATGGAATAACATTTTACATGGCATAATGAATTTTATGTCGATTGTGTTACATATAAACTAAATAGGCGGCAGCTGCGAAAATTTCCGAGACTGCGAGAATTTTCCAGAAGATGCACGATCTGTTTTCTGGCTCGTACACAAACAGAGACCGGCAGAGCAGTTTAATTCATTTCTGTGCAAAATCGTGGCCAGAAACGGCGAATGCAGATTTGGTATAATTCCATACTTATTACAAATTTCAATGTAAAAAATATTTTTAGATGAAAAGGAGGCAACTCCTCACAATACTTGTGACACCTACCCTGCAATCGTGTGGATTCTCACTACTAAAGGGTGCACATCACGATTAGATTTTTACGAAAATCGATTTAACGATGCGATCCAACGATTTTTTGTGTCGATTTGTTTAAATCCGATTTTCAAGCGAACCAATACAATTGAAAAACAAATCAAATCGTCTAGATTTTGTAATAATATCATTAAATTTGAACTGGTGCCTTACCATGAACTCTTATTACAGAACAGTATAGGTTCGTAACGCCAAAAAAGCGGGATGGTGATATACACTTCATGTAGCGCTGTCTCACTACTATTCATTTTGGGTCCTAAACTGAATCGTAATAAGAGTTCATGGTAAGGCTCCTGAACTCAATTTACAACAAATATGTAGTAGTAAATAGTTTTTGCCTTCGATTTTGGGTATTAACCCGATTTAAACCCGGCATTAACAAAGCGCCTGGTTAAAACCCGGACGCTTGACCATCTCTGTACACAAATGACATAAAGTATAAGTAAAAAAGATCGAACAAACACAAAGAAATATTCCTTCGATCTGGCTGGAAAAATATATCTTATGCAACAGACACTCCAGTCGGATTGAAGAGTTTTCTTTATTCGTTTGATTTTGGAATCAATAATAATAAGGAACTAGTTTAGCAATTTAAGGCAATTGCTGTGGTTGTCTGGTACTATATTTCCACAAAAATAGATGAAATAATTTGCCTCCAATCGGTTCCGCGGCGATGCAAATTATGCCTAAGGATGTACTGGGAATTATTTTCTCATTGTCGTACCGGTCAAATAGGCACATGACGGCTAAAGTGGCTCCATTGTAACGAAACCATTAACGGGACGAACAAGTTCTGGACCTGGTGGTAAGTGACACGCCTGTACATAACAGTTGCAGTGCCACTCAGAGCCTTAAGTCGCAAAGGTCTGAGGGGCACTGCCACTGCGCCCGTCATCCATAAGTTGACAAGTCCCATGTGCCTGTAATTTCACCAGCACCGTTACCCTACAAAACCGGAACACAGTAATGCTGACATTATTGCTTGGCGACAGAAATAGGAAAGGTGGCATTACTATCCTGGACGAACTCTTTCACAAGGAGGTCTACTGCTAGTAGTTTCGACTGCTGTGAAAAGACGAGTCAAATACTTACAGACGCCATTATTTTATCCGATGTAAAACGGCAAATTTGACCGACGTTGATACACGTTTGTCTAAAAAAAAATGCTTATTCACTCTCGCCTTGAATAGTCTCAAATTGATGGTTCCGGGAAACAAACGCCAGCAGTGTATTTCATCTTACGAAAAATGTTGCGGCTGTTGTTAATCATCAATAGTAATAGAGTTACAATGAAGACGACTGCAAAAAGTTCTTGTGCGTGGAGTACAAATGTTATTGTATCTTTTTTATGTTCTCAATCAGTTAGACAATTCATAAAATTGAAAAAAAAAATCAATGTGGTGATTTTGATAACAATGGCTTAAAACGATAATGGGCTCCAATGTAAAATACCGTTCCTTAAAACCTCCTCAACCCTGAATGTACGGAATGACAGACTTTTTTTCACGATTTCAGATTACTATGAAATGTGTGTGAAATGACGAGATTATATAGCACGACATTCATCAATATGGCTAAGAAATATACTTTCAAACTTATAATGAAACCAAGGCAGCATGGTGATCTTGGCAGCTAGGAATACCGATAGAATGTAATATAGCAGATGTACTACTGGTGTTATATTAATTGATACTAATTTTTTTTAATATTTATTTGTTCAGGATATTCCACATAGAAAACACTACACATTAAGTAGTAAAACACTTAAGTTTATAAACTATAGGCTGTCTTTTTTGAAGATGGAGTAAAATGACAGTTCTTTGCGCAAAAGTGTTGCCCGCTTCCAAGAAGCTAGCGACTGCAGTCGATGAATATTCTATCAGCTGTTGAACAACACCTGTTTAGTAGCAGTAGAGCTCCTGGAAAAACTTCGTCCAGGAAATACTGCCACCGTACCTATTTCAGCCGCCAAGTAGTAATGTGTTTCGGTTTTGAAAGATAATGGTGCTGATTAAAATTACAGGCACATTGGACTTGTCAACTTATGTCTCAAGGTGACAGGAGCAGTGGCAATGTCACTCAGGTCTTTGCGATTTAAAGCTCTGAGTGGCACTGCAACTGCTATGGACAGGCGTGTCCGATAACACCAGGCGTTCTGTCACTTGGTATCACAAAAAAAAAACAAATATTAATAATTCTATTATCTCCATTCCAGATCACCCAGGACCTATTGGGCAGCGTTCTTATGATCCTGGTGACAGTGGGCTACCGCACCAAGTTGTCAGCGCTCATGCTGGTGTTGGTGCTGACCGTACTTAACTTGTACCACAACGCATGGTGGGCTGTGCCTTCTTATAAACCGTTGCGAGATTTCCTTAAATACGACTTCTTCCAGGTATGATATTTGTTTCTATTTATTATTATCCATTTTATTCATCATGAATTAGCACCCTCTGGGGACACGATGAGGAGGTCCCGGGTTCGATTCCCAATACCCAAATCAATGTTAAATCATCTTTATTTCATAGGTAAGAAAATTACACTTGAAATCGTCATATTGATTAAACTCCACTGCTCATTCGTAATTCAGGTTCCCCTGAGAAGAATGAGCAAGGGACTCTAGGGGTTACTCTTTGTAAATAAATATACATTTATTATTATACTTTGTCGCACATGCTATCTACATATGATGATTGTTTGCCAAATATATCAAATACAAATAGTCATGTGAAGTGCCACCATTACCTAAATTTCAAATAACATACAAAGAGTAATAATAATAATAACGCTCACAAACAACATAGCCCCGCACTAGGGAAACACTGTGTCGCGGGTGCCATGGACACACACATAGACAACCACAAATTACACTTAAACTCACGAGAGAAATAAATGTAGGACATACAAATATTTGTCACGGCCCGGGAATCGAACCTGGGAAGAGTGAATAATACCTCTCTCTGAAATACCTTAAAACATTTATATTTTTATTTACAATTGCAAAACTTTCTTGTAAATACAATACCTGAGTAAAACAATTGCTACTTTCACATCAAAATTATAGGACAAAATGTAATACAATAATTCCAAGATTTCAGAGAGAGGTATAATACACTCTATGTGTAGAAATTCATAGGTTAATATACTGTGTCTATTCCTATCTCTGTTAATAATAACCATTAATAGTAAGCATATAAAACAGTCAACAACCAAAGACAAACAATCACACTAAACAATATTCGTACTATGTACTATGTTAATTGCAACTTGAGGTCAATTTTTATGTCCAGTACTCAAGATATTAATATTATAACAATTCAATATATCCGCCGAGGGCTTTGTCTCATTTACATGACGAACTATTGTTTTCTTTAGTCTATTGAACCATGTTTATACAAAGCACAGAGCTAATTGAAGCAACTTGAGGTCAATTTACGCATCTATATCCAGTACTTAAGATATTTATATATTAATTGTAAGCTTATCAGCTGAGGCTTTGTCCTTTTTATCCTACTATTGAATGTAATTGTAGTGGTGAATAAAATATAAAATAATTATTCATATTAATTAAGATGAATTCCAACCACCCCTATCTCAGCGCTAGTAGCTTAGTGGGCGACTGGCTGCTTCTAATTGAGCTTGTGGTATCAGATAGATAGATATATACATTTTATTATTATTTTTTATGTTATCATACGAAGGGATGAGCAAGTCGTGCGTCTGATGGTAAGCTACATACCTGCCATTTGCGCCTTACATTGCCACTCAGAACTTTAAATTGCAAAGATCTGAGGGGACTACCATTGCGCCCGTCACCCTGAGACATAAATTGACAAGACCCATGTGCCTGTAATTTCACCAGCACCCTTACCCTTCAAACTTATTTAGTTACTGCATGGCGACAGAAATAGGTTAAGGTGGCTGTACTACCCTGGACGAACTCTTTCACAAGAAACTCTACTGCTACTTGGTGTCTTTCCTGACCTCATGAAGCAAAGTAAAGTTATTCCACTTTTCAAATCTGGTAGTATTTCTGACCCCACCAATTTCAGACCTATATCAATACTACCAACTCTCAGTAAAATATTTGAAAAAAATATTCTAAATCAGATGTGTGCGCATTTTTATAGTAATAACTTAATGTCTCCTAAACAATTTGGTTTCACTCGGGGTCGCTCTACAACCGATGCTGGTGTCGAGTTGATTAATCATATATTTGATGCATGGGAAGTCTCACATGACGCTATTGGTGTATTCTGTGACCTTTCCAAAGCTTTTGATTGTGTGCACCATGATACACTGGTCAGGAAACTTCGCCATTATGGTTTGGCGGGACGTGATCTCGACCTTCTAAAATCGTATTTGCGTGGTAGGGTACAGAGGGTCGATGTTAACGGTACGAGATCGTCAGGATCTGCAATTAGCATGGGTGTCCCTCAAGGTTCAATTCTAGGCCCATTTTTATTTTTAGTTTATATTAATGACTTACCTAGCCTTATGGAGGGTATAAAACATGAGATAGTATTGTTTGCTGATGATACTTCCTTATTATTTAAAGTTAAAAGGCACCAATGTTCCTACGACGATGTGAACAATGCTATATCTAAAGTAGTTGATTGGTTTGCTGTTAATAACCTACTTCTTAATGAGAAAAAAACAAATTGTTTGAAATTTACATTACCCAATGTTAGAGAGACGGTTACAAACATTGTAGTTAGAAACGAAAAATTGAATCTTGTGGATACAGTTGTATTTCTAGGTATAACGTTAGATGCTAAATTGCAATGGGGTCCCCATATAAGTAAGTTATCAAAATGGCTCGGCTCTGCAGTGTACGCGATTAAAAAAATAAGGAAACTTTCAGACGTCGAAACCGCTAGATTGGTTTACTTCAGCTACTTTCACAGTCTAATGACATACGGCATTTTGCTTTGGGGTAATGCCGCCGATATCAATAGAATCTTTGTCCTGCAGAAACGTGCAGTTAGGGCAATTTACAATCTGGGCCCCAAAGTATCTTTGAGAGATAAGTTTAAGGAAATTAACATCCTTACACTAGCCTCACAGTACATTTATGAAAATGTAATTTATGTTAAAAGGAATAGTAATTTATTTATGAAAAATAGTGACAGACATAACATTAATACGAGGAATAGAAATAAACTAGCTTTTTTTGATAGTCGTCTTCACAAAGTCAAAAAATCATTTAAGGGGCAATGTATACGCTTCTATAACAAGATTCCGGTTGATATACAAAATTTGCCTTTCACGAGGTTTAAAACTATAGTGAAACAAAAACTTTATACTAAAGGTTATTATACAACTTCTGCGTACTTGGATGACAAAAATCCGTGGTAGTAACCCGTTTAGCTCATGGAGGTAGTCTCGATCTCTGATGTTTCAAATAAAAAAAAATATTGTAAATGTTATTTACAAAGAGCAACCCCTAGAGTTTCTAGCTCATTCTTCTCAGGGGAATCTGCCTTACGAATGAGCGGTAGAGTTTAACCATTGTGACGATTTCAAGTGTAATAATGCTTACCTATGAAATAAAGATTATTTAGAATTTGAATTTATTATATTATAACCAACACAAAGAAAACATTCCGTGGTGTATAGACCCGTTTAGGTCTTGCAGATATTCTCGATCTAATATATTTGAAATAAATATTGAGTATTGACTGTGTTTGTCTATTCGAAAAATACAGCAAACACTGAACTCGCTTTACCGCGCACTAGTCGGTTTCTTGACGCACATCAAAGGAGGCAAATAGGCAAATACGCAAGAAAACCGCCATTATTTTAACTCCTTATTTGGCCCATGTGTATACGATCATATTTATCTTTGTGCATATTTGTCTGTACGTCAAATATTTTTCCAAGTACATCAAACACCCAATAGTGCATAGGGCCATGTGAAGTACAGCCGCTATCGAGTATATAACCAAAAATAGGGACGAAATAAGGGCTATACATTCCTGGTAACTCATTAGTGATACATCACTTATAAATATCAACTCTCGTTTGCACTGAAATTACAAATTAGAAAGCTGAAATAGTACAGCGCCAACAACATGACCTGTGTGTACCTCTCTGCATATTCCAAAAATATTCTATATTTATTATAATAAAGGCGTGCTGTGCCATTCGGTGGTGTAGGAAAAACAGCAAAACATCTAATTACAAAAAAAAAATAAAAAAAACCAAATCAACAATAATAACCATATATATTTACCAACCAATAACATATATCGGGGTTTTCAATAAGGACATAACAAGTTTGTATTTCAATAAAACACAGAATTCCAGATGCTGTAAACGTGTTACATTTAAGAATGGCATTCAATTTCAATTTCAATTTGCAGCGTTAAATTTTTTGGAGTCTAATTTGGCTCCAAAAACAATAACTCAGTTGGGACAGCGACAACTCCGGTTTCGCGAAAAAGTCACTGGTTCGAGCCCAGCCGGATCTAAAGAGTTTTTATTTGTGTTTGTTCGATCTGTGTCAACAATATATCAATAATAATAATAATAATAATAATAAGCAACATGTCGAATGGGTGAACAGCTCAGTGACGACTATGATATAATGGTTTAAAACTACTAAGATAAAATTTAAACCACATTATCGTCAACCTATTTACTCACACCACACACTGAGTTCACATGTGAGCTATTTTTGGATTGGGGGGGTTTACATAGTCCGCCATGTTGGTCCAATGCGGATCGGGTACTTATTTTTTTATATGCAACTTTGATATTAATAATAATTACTATTCTACATATCGTCAAGGATACACACCTTTTACCAATACCATTATATTGAATTTGTTTTTAACGCTCACTCTCAAAGCCCCGCGCACTAGGGAAACCCTGTGTCGCGGGTGATATGGACACACACATAGACAACCACAAGTTACACCCAAACGCACGAGATAAATAAATACAAATATTTCTCCCAGACCGGGAATCGAATCCGAGACCTCTGCGTGGTAGTCCAGCATGATGACCATTCGTCCACGGAGGCAGTTTTTTGGAGAATTGAAAGTCTATTTGATATATCATTAAAATTTCACAAGTATCTTAATATGTATGTCTCACTATACATTTTGTTTTTTTTTTCCAGACTTTATCCGTAATCGGTGGCCTGCTCATGATCGTGTACCTCGGCCCGGGCGGTGTCAGTATGGACGAACACAAGAAGAAGTGGTAGGGCCGAGCGCTAATGTGCAGAGACTCTCATAACTCGTTGTCAAGATGTGTTATATTACTGGAAAGTGCATATGGTGAGAGTGAATTTGTGACTGTAGATTTATATTTATTTCTAATTTTCTGTTACTTGTACAAAGTGTATTTATGACATTTAGTTATTATTTTATCTGTTTTAGAGCGGTTACACACGGTGACTTTTAGCAGCGATACAAACGCGCGTTTGTTAAACGTCATTAAAAACGTGAATCGCGTTTGCATTGCGATTGTATCGCTCACTGCTTAAGCCGCGCTTGTGGGTAAAGGCGACTCAATCGCTGCAGACGCGCAACAAGTCGCCGTGTTAGGGTTGTTCACACAGTGAGTGAATAATAGGTAATATTCTTGAAGTAAAAGTGAGTGCGCTAAATAGAAATATTGGACAATTCTTTTCTATACATTATCTTAAGAATACGGCTAATTCGGAGAAAGAGAGATCAGAGAATATAATACGTGCTAGTCTTCATATATATGTACTAGCAAAACAGAAACTTTACAAGTAAATATAATAATATTGCGCGCCCCCATCACCTACAGTTTTTCTTCTAATTTCATGAACAGCTCTCAAAGTCCAGTATTAAGTCTGTCAAAACGCGACCTGTTTTTTTTTATTTGTACCCTACACCTTACAATTGACATACAGTTCGTTATGCTATGGTAAAAATTCGTCCACTTGCCGTTCCGCGGCAATGTAAATTGAATTTAGTTACTAAGTGGAAAGCGGTTGATTTGAGAACGTTCTTAATGTCAATATAATATATAGTACGGGTGCGTAGTAGTAAACGAATAATATAAATTTACAATATCTATCTTGTTACATTATAAAAATTTTAACTACCTATAGAACATTTTCATTTTGTGTGAATGCACTTTCCAATAATAAAACTACATCTTGGTTGTTGTAAATGGTGCAAGAGATTTTTACATCCAACAATAATAAACATTTCTGATGTTTTTTATATTTAGCTAGTCGGTGAGACTTGCAATCATCTTTGTGTTTTGGCGGAAGATTTATGAGATAATTATTGTGATTGTTCCTTCTTGTAACAAAATTCTAGGGAATTTTGGCTCGTAATTTATACAAAAGAGGATGCAATGCGATGTAGATAAGTGTTAATTTTTTGGTTTGCAACGACAAAATGCCGAGTGTTGCCGAACCTGTTCGTCGTACAATTTCACACCTTAATAGTAAAGTGACGAAGTTAAAAAACTTATTTTTGGGCAGCTAACAAAATAGAGCTATATAAGCCATTTGGCTGGTGACACATATGTCAAAATTCCATTTAATATGAAAAAAAAAAAGAAATATTGCTTTTTTTTTGTAAATTTCCCGAAAATATTTCTTTTCTAAATCCGTCACTATATTTAGGACAGTTGCTTTTGAACAACATGTTTTTATCGCATTGCTTTTGTATAAATTAGACCAAAAGCAGAGTTTACAGATCACAAAGTGTTAACTATTACCACTATACAACTATTAATCATTTAATGGTCATATAGTGGCGGCCATTTTTGTAAAATGTCTATTGTACGTTGTAACGTCGCCGTCATAATACTGCACAACTTTAAAAGAACAAATATACTGTTTCAAACAGGCATGTATTACTTTTATGTACCTACATATTGACTCACTCGGCATGAAATGCGGGTCTTCTATAATTTGTCTGTTTCTTGATTAATGTCATCAAGTTCATGAACCAAAATGTTTTGAACCGGACTATATGCACTACTTGAAACAGTGTATGTTCTAAAGTATTTATGTGCTAAGCAACTTATATTACACTAGGTTATATAGTAGTTTTTTTATTCTGTGTATGTCCATTTTACTTTACAATAGTTAATTCTTATAGGTGGCTGCAACATAGTGTATGAACTCGTTAAGGATGTTTCACAAAAAGGGAAACAATTTTTGCTAGGTAATTGACAGGCTTATTATAGAAACTTTTAGTCACATTTTTGTTTTTTGAGATATTGCCCTGCGATGGATTTAATCTATGGACTGTATAATCCTTTACAACACTAATGAATGTAAATAACGTACAATTTTGAAGGGAAATTATTACATCACAACATAAAAAATGAAATTAGGTATCATGCAATGGAAACCACTTTTCAGTCAAAATTGTACTTTTTGTTTTTTTAAATTGTTACTTTCATTCCTGCTTAAGGGTAGGGCAAAGTTTGACATGCGCTGTTTTTAAAAACAGACTTCACAAACAAACTTTCGCGTTTGTAAAGATAGTTGTTGGCGTGTGCTAAAGATGTCGCGTTAGAGTGAAAGAATACCTCGTATAAGATTTCTATGATATTTTTTCAGGAAGAAAATAAATATGTGGTGGAAAAAAAAGTAGACACAACAATATGTGTATTTAGAATTTTAATTAATTAAATTATGTCTCTTTCAGACGCTATATTACTTTAATATATATTTATATTTAGGCAAGAATGTTATAAGTTTTGCTTAAACATAAATCGGTAAGAACAATGTGAAAATGCGTAACTAAGGTTTTCACTATAAAGTTGTAGTTCTATACAAAATCAAATGACCAGGTTTAATTTAACATCTGTATCAGTGCCTCTTTAAGTTTACTATGATAGTTATATTTCTAAAAGTAGGACATAAAATGAGCTCTCCAAATTATATTCTTCCAATTTTTTAAATTTTTCCATTTTTTCGGGAATTTTCCAGACAAATTACCACAATCTGAATTTTTTTGGAAAACTACCCAACAGTACGAATGACCGCGTAAAGTATTTAATATAAATAATATTTTTTTTATAGTAAACTATATTGCGTCCCAACGGTCACAAGTTATATTTTGTTTACAATTTTACCTGAAGCATGAAAATATTTTTCTATTGTGTCAATGTGTGTGTTACGAGGTAACAAACAGAGAATAATGTGAAAACATGTTTAGTTTTTTTTTAAATAAAACTTCATGTGCATTATATTGTCCTCAGTAACCACAGCATGTTTTTTATGAAAGCGAACATTTCTAATGGTCATGTTTTTATATTGTTTGCCTTTTGAGTCTGAAGCTCAAAATGGGAAGTTTAAAACCAATGTTTAAACATGTTAATGGGACAATATGGCGAAAGATTATTAAGAAATATTCATAAAAAGAACCTATTAGAACAGGAGCTCCATCATAATGTAGAGGACACTATGTTGCAGCCAAATGTAGTTCGTATTTCAAAACTCTTATTCCATTTTCAAAAACAAAATGCATTTTTTTTTGTTTACAAAGTTTTATTTGCTATTCTTTTAACCATTTTCTATTTTATTTTTGTTTTGTTTTTGAACTGAAAATGGAGTTTTATACGATTTACACGATCCTTACCCGCATATGTAATTGTTCGTAGCGGAAGTTTGTTTGCATGTATATCAGACTGAGCATTGCTGGTTTCGTTTGTCCTTTCATTCCGAATTCTTTCTACCTGTTGTGATGTCTGTGTAAATATTATATATATTTTATTAACAATCGAAGGAAATGCAAGCAAATTTATGGCCGTGAACGAAATTTTTGTATTAGACTTATAATATTCCAGTAGCCGTAAGAAAAACTATCCTGACATTTTCAAAGATCAACCTACTTCCACCTTCGTAAATTATGATTTATTTCTACACACAAAAGTATTTAAAAGACAAAATATTTTTATAGTATTTTTTTTATTAAGTTTCTATTCGGCCATAGAATGAAGTAAGTTCCCTTAGATGACATGGTTTGTTCCAAATAAATTTTATATTAAATTGAAAATGTTTTATTTTCGTATTCTGCGCTGAGCCGAGGTTAGTCAAGCTGTTTGCCATATTGATTTGAACAGAGATAGCTATGCTGTTTACCATAATGGCGGTACTTCATGGATATTTCATTCGTTATCCAATTATTGACATACATACATACAAACCTTTTTTGTCCCCCCTCCCCCAAATTTTGTTTATTTGTATTTTGTTAAAAAAGACATTTTCTTTGCACAATATTCGGGGAGCATAACATTATTATTTAAATATGGCTGTTTACGAAAATAACAGAAAATTACCATAAAAAAATAAATTGACTAAGTGTTCATTGGAGGTATCTAAACGGTTTTGAACAGGTATTGCTTTGCTCTTTGGCATAATGTTTTCAATAGGGATTCTTATGATATTTGCCATAAAGTTTTATGTTATTGTGTAAGTCATTTATTATAAATGATAGTTTATGTAAAATATTTACAAATAAAGAGAAATTTAACAACTAAATTTAGATATTTTGTGCTTCTACTTTGTTGCTTTAACCCTTTCGGTGTCCTTCTTCGCTATGTATTTGAACACCCTGTTAGCGAGGTGTCTGTATTTCTCCGCGTGTATGCTATCTGGGAGGGCGTAGATTGCCGGCTTGCCGCTGTTGATGCATTCGGACATATCTTGATCCACTTCGAAGCTTTGAATTATCTCGAGATTCAATTGGTCAGCAGTTTTTTTCGTCTCCGTGCCAAAGACATAATTTTTTGTGCCGCATCTGTGACAAATGGCATGCGACATGTTCTCCACCAAGCCGACAATAGGAACTTTGAGTTTTTCGAACATGTTGACGCCTCGCTTGGTTACTTGGAGCGCGGCGGACTGCGGCGTCGTCACTACAATGGCCCCTGTCACATGCAAATTAGCTATAATTGATCGGCAATGACTCAAGGTTGTTTCGCTTTCGCAAAGTGTAGTTTGCTTTGTGTGTCACAATGATATCTCAATGTTAAATAAAGAGGACTACTCTGCAGTCCGCTATTTAAGGTTATGATTACACTTTCAGAATACCGAACACATTTTCGTCAGAACTTACATGCATAGTAATCGTAGCCTTAAACGCGGCTATGTAACAAAATATTTTTAGGATATCAAAAAAATCCATAACCCAGTTTTAGATAATTGAAATTGTATAAAGATCAGTGCCAGATTTGCCCTAAGGCCACCATAGGCCCGGGCCTAGGGCGGCCAATCGTGACAAAAAAATCACTGGTGATGACAATAAACAGTAACTCAAAGTACCTAAATATTCTAAAGGTTCACGCACATTATGGCGGGCCGCACTGCACCGCATCGTATAACAATAATCTTCCTAAATCAGTGACCGTCAGGATGGCTGGTCGCCTGTGGTGTCTGGCACTGGGTGTATATTCAAGAGTTGCTACATAATTATAAATAATTGCTACCTACGATGTATGCTGAGAAATTTAAAAAAAATTGACCAGCCATTCTGAAGTCAGGAAGGCGGGCCGCCTCTTTGTTCAGCATGAAGGGAGCAGATTATTCCAGATGTATTATTACCAATAATTGCTACCTTCACTAATTAAAGGTATACGCTTCATATCTACATTAGTTAAAAAAATATAACCGATTTAAAATTTTACGAACAAGTGCCAACGCAAGATTAACAAAGAATTTAGTTGTAATTATATATTTATCGAAAAAACTATCTATACATCAGGCACCTTTCACTTAAGTACAAAATAATAAACTTAACTTAAAAACTTGAGTAAACTTGAAACAAAACAAAAATAGTTTATATAGAGATATATACTTTATACAGGAAAGCAAAAATTATATTTTTTGACCAGCCAATCAAAAATTTCTTTAAATTTTCGCAGAATGTATCATAGGTAGAAATTATTTAGAAAAGGTAGCAATTCTTGAATATACAGTGTCAGATGCCACAGGTGACCAGCCATCCTGATGGTCACCCTAAATCATTTTCGTACACTTTATTTATAAAATATAGATGTCTACCAGTAGCTATACTAGTGCTGAAAAAGGGGCGGCTGGTACTGACTGATATATTACATATTTTAACTATGTATACCATTATTGTCTTATGCAATTTAAAACGGATATTTGACCACCTGTCACTTAGCCGCGTTTTGGTTAGTGGACGGGGTGGTAGTACTCTTCGTTTTTACGTTTTACCATAGTATAATAAGACAAGTAGTTGTAGTATCTATTAGTAGTTTGTGGACAACCCTGCGCGCCGTTTGGAGCGTAGGGTTATTATTTCAGTTGTACCTACAGATTGCAAAATATAATTTCAAAAAGTAAGGTATTCATCTCTCTCAATAACCTTTGTCATACTGATATTTTTATACCAGTATCGCGTATTAGTGTCTCGAGTGTGATCATGAAATAGAAATGAAATGCGAGTTTGTATTATTATTATTACATTTAGGTCGATTACCACTGATAGAGTCATTTAGATAATTGTTCTCCCAGAAAGCGTCGAGTTGGATCAAAATGATGATGTATGGGAGTCGTGGTCGGATGGGTTCGGTGAGTGTCAGAAAACTCCGAAAACTTCGAAAAATGGATTGCATCAGGAGGACTGCAGCTGCCTGGCTAAAGTATAATACCTACCGGAAGGGTTGTCAAACAAAAATTAACAGCCATCTCGGGTAGTTTCTACCGGAAGTTAAGAGGGAGCAGAGGAAAAATTCCTAATCTTCGATTTGATTTTAGA